AAAAAAAAAAAAAAAGAAAAGAAAGAAAAAGAAAATTTACTTTTCTCCAGTCAAGGAATCTAATTTGAAATATCAGGGGGGGAAATGTAATTGAAAAATATACTTTAATTCTAAAGATGCTGTAACTAAATATTAAATTTTGCATATGAGAAAAAAATTGATTAACACTATTAAATAACACCTAATATTTGACGCTATATGATTCAATATGGCCATATGATACAATTACACAAAATACATTAATATGAAAGAATACAACAGATTGAGATAGCAGACAAACCTATATAACTTTTTTTTTTGGTACAGGAAACTACTTTAGAAGTATGCATGTACCTGCCCACTCCTTTAAAGGAAATCTACTGCAAGCAAAGCTATCAACCTCTAGAAAAATCATACTCCAAGAGATCTTTTAAATGTATAAATCCTTTATACTTTGATAAAAATTACTGATTCTTTTTGCATTTAAAACTCTCACATATGGCCTCCATTTCATATCCCACAAGTTCTCTTCCAGCCCGTGTCACTGTCCCTACTCTGTGACACTCACACCCTCTCACTGTGGCTGCCTTTCAGTCTACAGGATGTGTCCCAGGGTCCCTGTCCTCACTTTGAATGCCACCTACAAGGCTTTCCACATCTGTACTATTTAAATTAGACTTTCAGTCAAACTTGTTACATTTTTTTATCAGATTTTTGTTTAATTAAAAAATTTTAGTACCTATTGATCACATTCCTCACAGGGAGCGAGCACGTGTAGGTAACACCTCTAGATTCCCTTTACATCTGCATCTCTCTTCTTGACCATCTCCCTCCATCCCCTGCATTTATATTAACTTCTTTGAATACTGCTGCCCAATGATACCACAGAGAACTCCATGAGGGTAGGAACTGTTTTGAGTACGTTCAAAAATATCTGATGCACACTGATCAATAAAGATTTGTGAATAAATTTAATCCTCACCATAACCTTGCAAAATGATACCCTTTTCTTCAGTTTTCAGATGTGGAAATGTTTATTGACGTACTCAGCATCCCAAAATATGGATCCAAATCCAAATTGTGTGCTCTTAAATGCTACAATGTTTCCCAAATGAAAATAATGGAAGGTCTGGAAGGGATCAGGGAGCTGAAGAGGACGACAGTCTATCTCCTGGCTCTGGATTACAAGGGTTGAACAAAGGAGGGTCTTTTTGTGGGAGCTGAAAATGAAGTAAGGTCCTTCGATTTCAACTAGAGTAAAATTGTGATGGAATAGTCTGGAAAAATGTTGAAGGTCCAAAGAAATGGGACTTCTGAGGACGCAGTGGGTTCAGTTGAGCTGGACATCAGGAAGAGAGCAACGGGGAAAGGCCATGGGACTTCCTACCAACCATGATGGATGGATGGTTGGCCGGGTGCAGGTGTGCACATTGGGAAACGAGAGAACTCCAAGGACAGGAAGCCTGGGCAGAATTAAGAGGGGCTGAGCAGCACAGGGTGTTGGGAAGAACTTGGCCAGTAACAGGCTATGCTACTGACTACATTCCTCCAGTTTCTGAGCACTGTTCTCCTTATGGAGACTTCCTCTCAACTACTATGGCCTGCCTGCCCCTCACTGAGTCTAGAGACATCTGCTTTGTTGCTGCTAATTTTAGCTGCATCCTGAAGCAAGGGCCAGGGGCAAGCAAATTTTTTATCCTCAGTCGTGGAAGGAGAAGTAATGAATATGCCAAGAAGGCCAGGGATGAGTTTTCTGGTGGACAGAAAGTTTCTGGAGCATGTGCAACACCACATCCTGTGGTGGTGGGTGGAATTCTGGGTACAGGCTGAGACCACTTAAGAATGTGGCAGGGTGGGTGAGTGTGGCAGTGGCAGGCATCAGTCACTCAGGATGGCTACTCTGATCTTTGCTGACAAGGAAATGGAGAAGCAGGCGCCAGTGTGGCACCTGAGGGTGGGCTGAGTGGGGTAAGGGCCTGCAGTCCAAGCCCTGGGTGGGAAGCCTCAGGCTTCAATACCATGTGTTAGAGAAAGTTCGGTGCACCACCAGCCTTGCCAAAAGCTGCCAGAAAGGCTTTGGGAACTGTTAACCAGAATTACAGAAAAGTCAGTAAACAGGAATGGACCCTTCAAACATAAACAATAGAATGTCTCTGCCCAAAACACTGTTAAAGCAAAAATTGCATTCCTGCCTCTGAGGATACCTGTCCAGAAATAGAAAAAAAAAAAAAATTCCTTTAGTCCTCTAGAAGTGGAGAGCGCCCACCTGGCTGAAGAGCACCAGACTGCACTCCTGCCCTCAAACGGTGGGCCTTCAGCCGGGACTCAGTGTGTCCCTGTCCCCTACGAGCCTTCTGCTTGCCCCAGTGGTGAATTACCGTGTGTTTGGTATGACACAGATATTTCAATCTCTTAGTGCTTAGGGTTTGTATCTTTGTATAAGCCAAGCATTTCTTTAATAGGAAAAAGTATGGTAGAGTTTAGGCCAAAAAGGAACAGACATGAATGGTTAAAATTTTTCAATCTCTTAACTCCAGACATTATGTAGTTTTACAATTAAAGATCTTGATATTCATGCCATAAACTGAGCATAAATAAAAAGTAATGATGAATAAAAATAATAGCATAATATTTCTGGGTTTATGGTGTCAATGACTAAGACAAAATAATTAGAATTAAGAGTTGCTAAGAGAGAACTGTACCTGAACACTGGAATCCGAATAGTCAGAACAGATGTCTTGTGGTGTGCAGAAGCGTGCAGGCTGATGGGAGCGTGCAGGCCGATGGCTCCTGCAAGGCAGCGGCAGCTGCTTCCAGAACCCTCTGCCTGGAGACGGTTGCTAGGCAGTGCTGGATTGGCTCACAAATGCACTTTCACCCGAGGATCAGCATTATGATGGCACGCATGCTGTCTCCCCATCTCCTCTCCTGCTCTGTTTCATTTAAAGACCAACAGAGTCTGGTCAAATATCCCTTGTGGCAGCTAATCATCTCAGGGACAGCAGATTGTGCTAGGCTAGTTCTGGGCACAAAGATGGAGATCTTCACCTTGGCTGCCACCGGGCACTTTGGAAATGTCTGAAAGCTACATATTTCATTTCTTCTTTTCTCTTCAGGCTAGATGTAAATGTCCAGGGACCAAAATAATAGGATATTCTCTTTCAAGTTCTTCTGCTGATTCACAGAAAAGCCAATACTGCACTTCATTTAATCCCAATTCTTTTTTTTTGCGGAACCAGGGATTGAACTCAGGCCCTTGTGCTTGACAGGGAAGTGTTTATTCCACTGAGCCAACTCCCCAGCCCCTAATTCCAATTCATTTTAAGAAATACTTAGTAGATGATTCTGAGAACTTGAAATGCATAAACAAAAAATCATCATTCCAGAATTTTAAGGTTCTTTTTTGCTTTCCAGTTTCTTTCTGCCCATAAAGTTGAGGCTCAAATTTTATAGACTCAACCATTTCCGGGCACTAAAGACAAAGCAAAGCTGGGCTCTCCTGCCTAATGGCAACATGAATGACACTGTATGATAAACTAGAAAGCTTGATACTAGTAGTAATGTGCTGAGTCATGCAGAGAATAACAAGGGAAGTGGCGCTGGTGCTGCTCTGGAGGGAGTGCTTTCCGTGGGGTCCACAGAATCACTTAGTGGGTGTGTTGTGTTCAGCACTTCCAAGAGCGAGCGAATCTGTTCCTCAGAGCAGCCCTGCTCCCATCGTCCTCTGCACCCCAAGCTCTGGCTCATCCCTGGTCCTTCGTACTTCAAGTCCTGGAGGCACAGCAGTGTCCTCAGCTCTACCAGCTGAGACCCCAACCTTGCCTCTAAGGCCTTTTGCTTTCCCTTCTGCGGCACCATCCTGCCCACTGAAGTTCTGCTATGATTATTTTATCTCACTAGCTAAATAAAAACTAAAAGCAGAGCAACAGAAAAAAAGGCTCTCTACTTCTCATAGTTCAAGCTATTGCTTTGAATTCATAAAGTGAAGCAGCTATCAGTCTGGAATGGTAAAGATCCAATCTTCGCTCCTCAACTGCCTAACAAGCCTCTGGCTCTGGGAGCCCCATACCTTCCTCGGATTTCCTGGTCCACAGTACACGTCCATATTCCTGCCTCGAAGTCTGTCCCACCTGAAATGCCCTTCACGCTTCGGTCTCTAAGTCATTCCCAAGTTGAGAGCTTACCCAGGAAAGTGCTCTAAATTTGGTTTCCCCTGTGGGACTTTCAAATTCATGTAATTAATAGAATGTCCTCACTACTGTTTTTCTAGCCAGAGACCTGGAGTCTCCAAGTGTTCTAGAACACTTGTCAATAAAGAGGAACAGTCATCATAAGACCTGACAGCTAGAAGGCACTTGCTTTGTACCACGCGCTGCTCTCAACATGTGCGGTATCACAAGGATCTCGCAAAGCAGACACTGCAGTCCTTATTTTTCAAATGAGGAAACTGGGGCACAAAAGGGATAGGTAAAAGGTCCAAGGTGACACAGCAAGATGCAGTTATAACCTACACCTAAACACGCTGTTTCCAGAACCCAGGGTTTAAATTAATCATTATCATGGGTTCCTTGCACTTTTAAAATTTTTATCTAAAATTCTTATCCATCTTTGCTTTCTTAAACATTGGCCCAGGCAGGGCTGGCCAGATAACTGAGCAGATTAAAGTGCCTGCTTAGGCAGAGGTAGGGACCAGGGTCTGATCTCCTGTTGTGCTGTGCCGGCCCCGCCCCTGGGGCACGCTGAGATGGTGACTGAGACTGGGCGTGGCGGCAGTGATCCCAGTGTTTGGGATGCTGAAAACACAAGCATCACTATGAGTCCGATCTGTGTAGTGAGACCCTGTAGACTCTGTACTAAATATATTTTTAAAAAACATTGCGCCAAGTTTGCACTACACAGTGACTACATTGGTACACATACCTAACCCAACTCAGTGCTTGTTAGACCCTTCCACCCCCACCTCCCTCCGCATCTAGGTCCTTTCACTATCTGTAAAAGATTTATCTCCCAGTTTCCTGTTACCTGACTTCTATTTTGCCCTTCATTTACTTATATTTGATGTTTCTCTCATCGTCTCACTGAAAAGAAACCAAGAAAGAAAGATTGAATGATCTGCCTAAAGTAACAGCAGAGTTTCTCAAAACTTGAGGTGGATACAAATTAGCGATCTTCGATGTGCAGATTCCAAATCATAGCAACATGTTCCTGACAAGTTCTTACTGGTTCAGGTTCTCCACCTTGAGCAGCAAGAACAGAAAATACCGGCTCAGGCTGGCGCTCAGCTCCGGCACCACATGTGGGGAGAAAACCTGGAGAGAAGACTTAGAAAAACTCTGCCTTGCTATGTACTACTCCAAGCTTATCCACAATGAGATAACGCACAAACTTTATCAACCGTCTTTTAGTAATCCAAGTCATAACCATAAACAAGGGTTTAAATATTGTTTTAATTATCAAAGTAGTGACAAATGAATAGCAAGTCCGCTGTATTTTGGGAAGGTTTTCCTAAAATTTTAAATCTGGAAAATTCCTGCAATTAAAAGATCTTGCTGCTCTGAAAGAATTATCAATCAGTAATTGTACTTCGTGGAATATAGCCAACATAAATGCTCTGAGTAATGAAATATATTTATGTACACTAATTGCTTAGTACTGTTTATAATCATTTATAAAAAACGGCAAGCAATTTCGCTGCTTAATAGCATGGAATACTTAATACAGAAGAAGCCAAATGCATCATGCAAATGGAAGATTAAGAAGAAGAAAGCCTTTCATCTTATGAGGAGAAATTAAAACATACACATTACATTGAAGGTTAACTTCCTATCAGATTTCATTCAGCGTTGCTGATCAGGAAATAGGAAATAAGCTTCTTGCGCTTGAACTTATCCTACTTTACTATGTCATTTAATTATTATCAATTTAAGAAATTTCAAAAAAAGAAAGTTAATGTTTTCTCACTGGCTTCTTAGTAAAATGACTATAAAATGTAGTGGTTATAGCTTTATGATATTATGCTATAACCTAAAAAATACATATCCATGTTCTGGATATATTTTAAGAGCAATTGATAATTGATGAGTCAATCAGGTCTATGTTGATCCAGTTCCAACTTTTAAAAAACTTTTATTTATTTAGATACAGTGTCTCGCTACGCAGATCGGACTCAATGCAGAAAAGAAGAAATGAAATCTGCAGCTTTTCAGACATTTCCAGTCTCAACCTCCCCAGTGCTGAGATTATAGGTGTGTGCCACCACACCACTTCCAGGGCTGGCATGGCGTGCAGTACCAGGGATCAAACTCGGGACCTTGGGCTTGCCAGGCTGGTGCTTGTTAAGTCTATTTCAGTTAAATTGCTACCTGACTGGTCCCAGCAGTGAAGGAATTTCCCAGCAGAGCTGAGCTTCGCCAGCTGACTGGAGTAGACTTTCACCTGTGTGTTTTTGTCAGGTAGGGGTGAGGGACTGTGAACAGTCTCTTCCTACTTTCAATGTTTCCTATTCCTGATTTTCACTCAGAGATTTCATTTTTCATATACCCACTAATCATCTTTATGTTTCAACTTTTTAAAAATTGACAAAAAACAATCACATGCATTTTGTAGTATGTGTACATTGTGGAATGACTAAATCAGCTAACTAACAACAACATCACACCTCAGTTATTGAGATTAGGACACCTAAATTTTACCCTGTTAGCAACGTTCAAGTATATCTATATGGTTATGATTATTCTATTTCTAATAACTAAGAAAATATTATATATTCATAATATGTTAACTATAGTCATCATGATGTGCTATAGATCTCTTGAAGGTATACTCCCCAGTTGAAATCTTTCATCCTTGGCCAATATTTCCTGAATCTTCCCCAGTCCAAGCCCCAGCCCCACACCGCCGCCATCTTACTCTGTTTCTGTGATTTTGAGGACGCTGGTACATGTTCTGCTGTGTCTGACTTACCTCACTTATAAGCATAATATTCTTCAAGACTACCTCTGTTGCTATAAATGACAAGATTTCAACTGTTTCTCTCTTTTGTAATGTCTGAATAGCACGGCACTAGGTCTCTACAGCATATTTTCCTTATGCGTTCTGTCGACGCATGATTGATGATTGCATGGTATAAGACAAGGGTCCAATTTTATTTTTCTCCATTTGATATCCAGTTGTCTCAAAAGCATTTACTTGAAATTACTATCCCTTTCTGATATTAACTTTATTTTGTGTATGCTGAAAATTCTTTGTATATTTATTCTTTATTTTGTGTATGCTGAAAATTCTTAGGTTGATTTCCTATCTTGTCTACTGTCAATAATGCTGCAGTGAATACGGCAGCACGGGTCTCTCTTCAATACTGCTTTATTTTCTTGTGGATACAAAGCCAGTGGTGGGACGACTGGACCACAAGGCCATCTCTACTTTTAATTTGGGGAGGAACCTCCATACTATTTTATGTAATAGCTACAAAAATGTACATTTCCACTAACAGTGTATAAAGCTTCTCTTTTCCCCACAATTGTTACCTTGATAATATCTATTATGCTGGACGCGAGTGATCTCACTTTGGCCAATTTGCATTTCCCTGATACTTAGCGATGATGAACATTTTGGCTTCTATTTTGTCAACTATCTAAATGCTTTGCTGAATTCTCTAAGTTCGGGTATTTGTGTTTCCATCTTCATTTGTCTCAAAATAGCTTTTTATTTCTCTTCTGTTCTTTGATCCACTGGTTATTGTAGAATGTGTATTTTAATTTCTATGTTTCTGTGAATTTTCCAAGTCTTATCCTG